ATTGCCCACACCAGAACGCGACTACCTGCACGGTCGCCACCCATGACCGCGCATTGCAAGCAAAAGCGGCTAGTATCCCCAGACTCGGAAAGCATCGCACCAGACCCTAAAGTGTCCACATGTCCTGTGCTACTGTGCCTTCCCCACTCAAAATCTGCCGACACTGTCGGCGTGTGTGAGGAGGAATCCTGGGGTGGTCGTCCTGGGCTAGTCCTGCGAGCCTTTTTCCAATTCGACCCTCTGCAACCATTTCCTTGCATCAACCTGGGGCCCTCCAAACCGCCAATCTGGGGGTGAATCGATCCAGGTCGTAATCGAGTCGAAGGGAAGCGCATCACCTTTGATCCATTCCTCGCCGCGGGGGGGGTCCTGGGAAGGGCCCTGTGATCATCTTGGAGGATCAAAGGGAATCCCCTTCCCATTGATCTTCCCAGAGGGATCCCGTGGGAGTCCTGGGAGAAAATCACAGAGCTGATCCCGAGATGGGTCCAAATGGGGAGGCCCCTCTGGAGAGACTGGGGTGATCGGGCCATCTTTAAGCCAACTAGGCCCGCTTAGAGTCCTCACGGGGCCAGCCTTGGCCAACTTCGGCGCTCTTGGGGTCTCTGGGGCCGTCTTCAAGGCTCTGGGGGCCGAACCCCTGTGGCAGGAACAGCATCATAATTCTCGCCGCATCGATCGCAAGAATGTGCAAGACGGCCCAACAAGACTCCAAGACCGGCCAAAGATCGGCCAAAGACGAGCCTCCCGCAGGCTCGTCTAACCCCACCCCCCTAAAAAGGAACTCGCCGACCCTCGAGCCTCGAACATCGATCACCGAGGTAAGACGAAGTCAGGACGAGGATAAAATCGCGTGCGGACAAATCGGGAATCTCTGAGGTCTGGCGGCTCTGGAGAAACTCTCGGGCGCCGCGGCCCTCTCAGAGCACTCAGGAACGCTCTGAGAGCGTTCCTGAACACTCTGAAATGGACTTGTCCTAGTCCCACCCTCATGGGGAAACCAAAATGTACCGGTACCGGTACCGCTACTCCCTGGAACTCTGCCGAGGTGCGTTGTCCAGTCGAGGCGAATCCAGCGGTGGCGGCGAAAGCCTCCCAGGAGGTCCGAAAAGGCGAAAACGAGGCAAGGGTAGAGGTATGGGTACTTCTCCTCTCAGCGCCGTCCGATCGAGCCTCGAATCGCCGCCGCCGCCGCCGACGTCCACAGCGCGAAGTGCTCAGTACGCGAATACGCTAGGAAGTCTTGCCATTAGCAATCGAGGGGCGCATCCCTTGTCGACTCTGAGCTTTGGAACTTCGTCCTAGGAGCCTGTTGTATTATTCGTGATAACAGGCGTGATCGCGGGGGGGAGTTCGTCCCCGATCACATCACGTCCCCCTCGAAGAATCCTAGAGCATCTTTGCAAATATGGGCGAAATAGCGTGACGTGATCCGGGGGGGAAGGAGAGAACCGATCACGGCCGTCATCGCCCATACCTCAAAAAAAAAAAAAAAAAAAAAAAAAAAATATATATATATATATAAATATATATATATACATATACCCACGAACCTGGACAGTCACACAGTGAAGCATGGCAACCTGTTCGAGACACCTGATCGGGCCACGGGCTCTTGCAATGCTGAACGTATCGATCTTGATGTACCGTGCCGAGGGCTGCGCTGTGCTGTGCCGTGCTGAATTGCGATGTGCCATGCCGCGATTGTGCTCTACAGCATTGTGGATCGAGTCCTCCTTAGCATCCGAGTCCTGACCGAGCTGATCTGGATCTTAAGCTCGAGCTGCCTGAACACATATGACCCAGAGCTACTTGAAGTCGAAACATGCGGGACATGCGTTCAACTCGAGCTCAAAATCCAGATCAGCGCCGAAAATGGACGACACGACACGGGGCACAGGCTCACGGACGCACCACAGGATGTGCCAGGGGCGCATAAGGAGATGCGCCAGGGGACGTGTCAGGGGACGTAATAGGGGAAGTACACTGGATGTGTCAGGGACCTGCCACGGGACGTGCCAAGGCGCGTGCCATGGGGCGGGCCAGAGGACGTCATGCCAGGGGACGTGGTAAGGGGCGCGCCACGGAACGGGCAAGGAAAAAACGCCTGAGGACGAGCCACGAAACGCGACTGAGGACGAACCAGGGAATGTGCCACGCCGAGGGGCGTGCTAAGGGACGTGCCAGGGCAAGTCACGCCAGAACGTTGCACAGGACGCGCCGTAGAAACGATTGTCCAACGTGACTTCGCGCGATCTTCGCGGCAAATGGGCCAGCAGCGGGCCACGCTCTGCAACGCGCACACCATGCAATCATGCGCACGAGACGGCCTCACAGAGGACACGCCAGCGCGCCAGGGGACGCCCCACGGCCGGGTGGGGTTGGGCTTCGACAAACTCTACTGCGACAAGCGTCTCGCTCAAGAAATCCTCCGGAAATCCTAATGCTGGACATCCGCATGGCCGACCTGGGCACGTGAAAACAAGCGGCTCGCTCGAGACATCCTCAACACATCCTGATGTTGGACATCCGCCTGGGCGACCTGGACACGTGAAAACGAGCGTTTCGCTTGAGACATCCACAACAAATCCTCATGCTAGACATCTGCCTGGGCGACCTGGACACGTGAAAACAAGCGTTTCGCTCAAGACGTCCTCTGCGCATCCTCGTGCTAGACATCCGCTTAGGCGACCTGGACACGTGAAAACAACAGTTTCGCTAGAGACGTCCTCAACACATCCTCATGTTAGACATCAGCATGGGCGACCTGCACACGTGAGAAATAACGGTTCGCTCGTGACATCCTGAATATATCCTCATGTTAAACATCCGCATGGGCGACCTAGGCACGTGAAAACAAGCGTCTCGTTAGAGACATTCTCAGCACATCCTCATGCTAGACATTCACTTGGGCGACCTGGGCACGTGAAATTATCATTAACATATCCTCATGCTAGACATCCACGTGGGCGACATGGACACGTGAAAACAAGCGTTTCGCCCGAGACAACCTCTACGCATCCTCATGTTGAACATCCGCCATGGCGACCTGGGCACGTGAAAACAAGCGTGTCGCTCGAGACATCCCCAACACAACTTCATGCTAGACATCCGCCTGGGCGACCTGGACACGTGAAAACGAGCGTTTCGCTAGAGACATCCTCAACAAATCCTCATGCTAGACATCTGCCTGGGCAACCTGGGCACAACAAAACAAGCGTTTCGCTCAAGCCTCCCCAAACTCTGCAAAACGAGCGTTTCGCTCGAGACATTCTCAACAAATTATGTACAACAAGCGTTTTGCTCGGGACATCCTCAGACATAGATCCGCTGGACCACCCCTATTCATCGGGGCTCAAAAGACGGGGGTCAATCCAAACGGAGGTCAGTCAGAGCGCCGGATCTTGCAGGATCCTGCAGTGCACTGACCCGGGCTTGGGTGCAGCATCCTGCAGGATGCTGTAAGATCTTGCAAGATCTTGCAAGGCCTGACTGACCCGGATCTGAATTGACCCAGTTCAAAAGATACCCGAATTCATCAGAAACAAATTCCGCCGGCCCACCCACAACATTGCACCGGGGACAATTACACTATTTCAGAAGAATCATGGGCATCTGCCCTTTCCAGGAGCATGATCGACCCACGAACCCGGAAGCGACGGGCATTTGTAATACTCAAGGTAGCGATGGTGATGTAGAGTGCCAAAGGATGTGCAGTGCTGTGCCGTGAAACGCACCATGCCGCGTTAAAGTGCTGTACTCGATTGCATTTTGGATCAGGTCGTCCGTGGCAGCTGATCTGGATATTTTGCTCAAGCTGCCTGAACGCACAACTCTGATCTGGCCACAATCGAAACGCGCGGGGCACTCGACCAGCTCGAGCTCAAGATCCGATTCAGTTCGGAAGCGGGGCGAATCGAACGGAGGCGAACCTGCACAATTACGTGCTCTGTTGCGTCGCGGATCAAATGACAGACCTGAGCTGGGCCTCAAGCTCGAGCTGCCAGATCGCATTGCTCGCCCAGAGCTGATTGCAGTCGAGACCGTATGAGAAGATAAGATTCCACAACAGCGCGAACTGATGAGGACGAGTCCAAGCCGAGGCGACATGCACCGAGAAGGGGCGGGCCGAAACGCCGACGACGTCAACGACGGGGGACGGCGACGACCGGGACCGCGGTTCCAGCTCGGGACCACCATGTTAGATATCCACCTGGGTGGCCTGGAAACGTGAAAAGACATGGCTCGAGCTCTGGATCAACATGTTGGATACCCCAGTGGGAATTCTGGCAAATCTCCAGCCGAAGGAAAAACCGCGTCAGGGCATTCCACATCCAGTGCCGATGTATTGGTTTTGCCCGGCTCTCGTGGGCCCCCACGCTGGGGGCGCCCAAACGACGACGTGTTGGTTACCCTCCCGCGGGTGGCCCGCACACGCAGAACATGATCGACCCACGACCCGGAAAGGCATTCAGAACTGCGGGGCATGGCAACGTTTCTGAGGACCGCCATTGATGAACCCGTTTTCCACCACCACCACCATAAGTTGGAAGGGGGAAAGAGGAGGAGGAGGGCGCGGAAGAGGAGGAGTAGGAGGAGGAGGAGAAGGAGGACCCCCTCTCCCTCCAACTTATGGTGGTGGTGGTGGAAAACAGGCCCATCAGCCATTGGGCGGTGGGAGGTGGCGATGCTGAAGATACCGATGGTGATGATGCTGTGCCAGGGGCTGTGTTGTGCTCTGCTGTGCCGTGGAGGAAATCTGTGAGGCACTGGAAAGAGCTTTCCGTCTCCGCGGTCGGCCAATCGGCCAGTCGACCAGTCGGCCAGTCGGCCAGTCAGGGAGTCGACCAGTCGGCCAGTCGGCCAGTCGGCCAGTCAGAGTCGACCAGTCGGATGGTGCATCCCCGTGCCCCAAAAATTTTCAGAATGCCCTGGAAGCCTCGAGTCCCGTCCGAGCGAGCCTCGAACGTCGATCGCACAGGCCCCGAGATCGCTGGGGCCTCCACCGCCCGCGGCAACGCCTCGCCGCCCAGCTGCGGCCGCTGGCCCCCCGCGGAGGCCGCGCCGCCCGCGCGGCTGC